AGAAGTAACTTGGCCCAGGCCATACTCAATAAATTACTAAGGGGTTTGAAAAGCCAGGGCTCTTCCTTCAATTCAATATTAAGGCAATATGTTTACCACTATAGCTAACATTTTGATTAGTCAAAATCACATAAGCCATATAGATTTTTATTCTCCCCTGGCCCAAATTCTTCTATAGTGAAAACAGAAAGTGAGAAGTGGGTCAATTCTAAGGCCTAGATTAGAATTTAGAATGTTCACACAGCACACTTCCACAGAAAAAGATTCTAAAACTCACTCTCACTAGTTCTTCCTTAGGTACTTACCTTTCTGGATATAAATAGAAAATATTCATCTCAAAGAAGGAATCTCAACTGTAATGATATTCAGCTTCTCTTAACTCTCAGTGCAGAGCAATGTGAAAAATGACAACAGTTAGAAGGAGATAACCTTGGAAGAGACCCACAGGATTCCTGTCAAGTAAAACAGTAGACTGATACATTTCCTAAAAGTATTAGTTCATATTACTTTGTTTTCAGAATTTTGATATACACAATCTAACCTGTGGTTACCCCAAATAAGTAGAGCCAACTGTGGAGTATTTAAAACAGAGTTTCGAATACCTCTTTTGCAGATAGCAGCCTATATAACAAAATAATGTGACAGATCTGGGAAAAGTAAGTAATAACTAGAATTCCTGGGACTGGACTCTATTTTCATGTAGAATAGGTGTTATAAGTGTGTTTAGATCTACAAAATAGCTAAAATATTTGCAATCACTGCTTTTTTTAGGAAGTTACTTTGAGCATCCCTAATCCAAAAATTTAAAATCCAAAATGTTCCGAAATCCTAAACCTTTTGAGTGCTAACAGGATGTTCAACAGGAAATGCCTGATGAAACATTTTGGATTTCAGATTTCTGGATTAGCAATACTAATATTCAATAGTATAATGTAAATATTGCAAAATCGGAAAAAATCCAAAATCTGGACATTCTTTTGGTCCCAAGCATTTCTCATAAGTAATACTAGACCTGTGTAATACACACAGATCCGAGATCATGTGTCTTACTGATTTTTCAGCACAATTCTCAAAGTTAGAGACTATATCTTGTGTTATTTTTTTCCTTTTTTTTTTGAGACGGAGTTTCGCTCTTGTTACCCAGGCTGGAGTGCAATGGCGTGATCTTGGCTCACCGCAACCTCCACCTCCTGGGTTCAGGCAATTCTCCTGCCTCAGCCTCCTGAGTAGCTGGGATTACAGGCACGCGCCACCATGCCCAGCTAATTTTCTGTAATTTTAGTAGAGATGGGGTTTCACCATGTTGACCAGGATGGTCTTGATCTCTTGACCTCGTGATCCACCCGCCTCAGCCTCCCAAAGTGCTGGGATTACAGGCTTGAGCCACCGCGCCCAGCTCTTGTGTTATTTTTTAAGTCCTCACTGTATCTAGCAAAAATCCGGATGCACTGTAAGCACTCAATGCTCACTGAGTGCGTTTTTTTATTAGATTTTTTTTTTCACTTCATCACAATTCCAGACTGTAGTGACTGAGATTCCTTTACATTTCCCTAGCAAAAATGTGCACAAAAACACCAAAGGAGACATCCAGGTGATATGCGCAGGAAATACAAAATACAGACATGTCCTAGGTTAAAACTCAATTAATGTAAACTATTCTGTAAAGCCTAGAAAATGCAGTGATAGTAATAATTTAGAAACACAAAATATAAGACATAAGCAAAATATAGAGAACATAGTGTAAAGTTCCTTGATGCTACTGAAAAGTTTAAACCAGTGATGAATTATTCAAAATATTTAAATTTAATTTTTTTTTTTTTTTTTTTTTTTTGAGACAAGAGTTTCGCTCTTGTTACCCAGGCTGGAGTGCAATGGCGCGATCTCGGCTCACCGCAACCTCCGCCTCCTGGGTTCAGGCAATTCTCCTGCCTCAGCCTCCTGAGTAGCTGGGATTACAGGCATGCGCCACCGTACCCAGCTAATTTTTGTATTTTTAGTAGAGACGGGGTTTCACCATGTTGACCAGGATGGTCTCAATCTCTTGACCTCATGATCCACCAGCTTCAGCCTCCCAAAGTGCTGGGATTACAGGCGTGAGCCACCGCACCCGGCCTAAATTTAATTTTTAAAAAACAAAGTGGGCGCTGTATAAAAACAGGGGAAATGATAAAATGTAAACAGCAAGATTGCTACAAAGCATAGTAAATCCTTTCTTTTTTTTTTTGAGACAGAGTTTTGCTCTGTTACCCAGGCTGGAGTACAGTCGCACAATCTTATTTCACTGCAACGTCTGCCTCCCCGGTTCAAGCAATTCTCCTGCCTTAGTTTCATGAGTAGCTGGGATTGCAGGCACCCGCCACCATGCCCACCTAATTTTTTGTACTTTTATTAGAGACAGAGTTTCACCATGTTAACCAGGCTCGTCTTGAACTCCTGACCTCAGGTAATTCACCCACTTCAGCCTCCCAAAGTGCTGGGATTACAGGCATGAGCCACTGTACCGAGCCAGCACAGTAAATCTTTACTGTTAATAAAAGTGGATTATTTGTGAAGAAAAGGCAGCTGGGAGATATATCTCAAAAGAAAGCCAAAATTAAAGGTTCTGAAAGACAGCCTGATGTTTTTGCTTGGGCCTGATACAATGTATGATTGCATTTCTGCACAAATATAACACCAGTGTTTTAAACCCAAGTGTTCTTAGAATATTTTCTAAATAAATAACTCAGAAATAGTGTACCTTACCATTCAGTTATTCAACACTATCTGGGAAAAGTCTCCTTTTGCAATACTCTGCATAGGCTATACTGAGAAAATATTCACAACCAATAAGTGTTTTAACTTCAAAACTAATGGACATGAACCAATAGGAAGCAGATAAGGAAGGAACATACTTCCCTCCCAAAACTGGTAATTCCCACATTAAAGACTTGTACTCCCAGCCCACAATCACCCTTTCCTCTATTCCATATCATCCTTATAAGTACCATGCAAGAGTGGCATAGAGGAATTTTTAATCACCCCAGTAATTTCCATCAGCCTCTCCAATAGACACTCCCAAAATATACAACCAAATAAAACACAGCACTTTTTATTGAGAAAGAAAACTCAAGACAAGAAACCTGGAAGCATCATTTCAATTAAGTTGCTGCCTTTCTCCTTTCCTCTACATGGCAATCATGGAGCTGTCACCTATATCATACTTTGTTGTAGTCGAGTAACAGTGGTTAAAAATATACATTTAAAGTCAAGCTATACAAATATTTCTAAAATTTGACAAGTATGAAAACACAAAAAAAGGAAGCATTGGTTTAACAAAATAGGAAATCTCAAAAATGTACATCATTGGTAGAATTTTAAATTAGTAAAACCAATCGGAAGTCCGTTTGGTTAAAAAGTATTCAACACTCCAAAAATATGCATGTAATTTGACTCCGAAATTTAATTACAAATTTAATTTATTCCATTTCTTCTGGTAAAGAATAGGTTAAATATGTAACATGTATATGCAGGGATGTTCTCTACAGTAATTTCATAATAGCAAAATGCTGCAAATATCTTAAATGCCCAAGAAACATAGGACTAGTTGGTTAAATTATTATGTTACAGCTACACTATGAAATACTAGACAAACTTTAATGTTTGAACAGCCACAATTCAGTGAAAAATGCAGATTACAGAACAGAAGGTATAAAACAATCACTTGTATATTTTTAAAATTTTTAATCACATAATTATAGAAGATAATCTGGAATAATATACCTTAAAACTGTGCAACAATTATTATCTGAGTGATGCAATTAAAGGTAATTAATATTTTCTTTGTAAATTTTTCATCTTCTCATTTCATTACATTAGCATCATTACTTTTATAATCTGAGAAGAAAAGCTTTCCATATTGCAAGTTTAAAGAACTAGTAAGTCTACATAAAGCACACGGACATCAACAGTTAATTATGTAAGCCCATATAACATATGTGTACATATACCTACATATCCAAACTCACTTCTCTAAGTACGTGTCTTAAGTTCTGACTTTTGAAAATTAGCACTTCTTCAAAATTATATTTTAAACTTTTTTTTTTTTAGCATTTCAAAGGCATTAAGAGATGTCTGTGTCATCATGACACAACCAATACTGCTCCAATACCATTACGCAATCCATTTTTAGTCTGCTTTGTAATAGGTGAATGTTTAGTGATATGCTTTGCCTTGCCTTTTGAGTTATTGCCAGAAAAGAAAGAAAAAACTAAGCCACCTCTATAATATACTGCCTGAAGTTTGTAAGGAAAACCACAGCAGAATGTAACTACTTTAACAGCTTTAGGGCCGGGCACGGTGGCTCAAGCCTGTAATCCCAGCACTTTGGGAGGCCGAGGTGGGTGGATCACGAGGTCGAGAGATCGAGACCAACCTGGTCAACATGGTGAAACCCCGTCTCTACTAAAAATACAAAAAATTAGCTGGGCATGGTGGCGCGTGCCTGTAATCCCAGCTACTCAGGAGGCTGAGGCAGGAGAATTGCCTGAACCCAGGAGGCGGAGGTTGCGGTGAGCCGAGATCGCGCCATTGCACTCCAGCCTGGGCAACAAGAGCGAAACTCCATCTCAAAAAAAAAAAAACAGCTTTAGAAAGGATTAATTACCAGTGAAGGCCCCAGAAGTGAGGGGTAAACATCAAATAAATTATTCAGTCAGACAAGTCTGACCCTTCTCTCCTTTCAAGCATCTCCACCAAAATACCACATAGGAAGATGAACCATAATACACAGTAAAATAAGAGAACAACTTTAAAAGTCATTTAAATTATCTAAGTATTCACAAAAATTTAATACTGAGCTAAATATAAACTTCATATAAAAGGTATAGCATTTAGAATTTATTAATTCAGCTTAGAGTTATAGATGAGCTATGGTATCCTGGACCCATGTGTGAAAAAATATTAAAGACATTTAAGAATTCATAAAATTTAATTACTGGTCAGAGAAAGAAAAAAGTACTTACCACTAAGTCCCAATTATTTTGTTCAAGCAATGTAATAGCTTCATCAATGTTTTCAATGCCAGTACATGCCTGGAAACAAAGTAAATAAGCATTTTACATATAATTTTAGAAATGGGGAGGTAAATCAGACTTAAAAATGTAAATAGCATGACATGTAATTTAAATTCAAATAGGTATATGAATAAAGTCAAACACTAAACGTTTAGCAACTCTAAGCATTTGACATATCTGTGGACATTATTAATTACAAAGTAAATTTACACTGCTCTAAAGAAAATAAAGCAACAAAAGAAAGCGCATTTAAAACTTGAGCTTTGACACCCAAGATGATCTCTCATTACCAAGAGCAACTTTTATTCAAATGATTCTGATGGACATCCACCTGTAAAACAAATTAATTTCAACTCATAACTTGTACTTTATATAAAAACTAACTGAAAATGTCTAACAGACCTAAAGTAAAATATAAACCAATAAAAATTCTAGATCTCTGCTGTCTGATAGCTACTACCAGCCACTCTCTGGTAACCACTAGATATATGTAGCTAATGAATCCTTGAAATGTGGCTCAATTGAGTTAAGATGTGCTGTAAGTACAAAATATACATCAGGTAAGACTTAGCACAAAAATTAAAAATGTAAGCTATCTCATTAATAATTTTTCCTTAGAATACATGTGGAAATGGAAATGCTTGACAAACTGGCTTAAATAAAACATAATGTTAAAATTAATTTCACACATTTCTTTTTACCCTTTTAACATAAATATTTTAAAAATTTTAACTACATATATGAAATTATATTTCTGGTACTGTTCTTAAAAAAAATATAGGAACACATACTTGTGACCAGACAAGGCAAACGTTAATTAGATAAAACAGGAAAAGCACAACTCAAAACTATGATAAAATTGACTTTATTAAAATTAATTACTACTGCTCTTTTTTTTTTTTAGACAGAGTCTCACTCTGTCACCTAGGCTAAAATGCAATGGCACCATCTTTGCGGACTGCAACCTCCACCTCCTGAGTTCAAGCAATTCTCCTGCCTCCTGAATAGCTGAGACTACAGGCACACACCATCACACCCAGCTAATTTTTGTATTTTTAGTAGAGACAGGGTTTCACTATGTTGGTCAAGCTGGTCTTGAACAACTGACCTCAGGTAATCTGTCCACCTTGGCCTCCGAAAATGCTGGGATTACAGGCATGAGCCATCGTGCTCAGCCAACTACTGCTCTTTGAAAGACATGGTTAAGAAAAGGCAATCACAGACTTGGAAAAAAATAGCTGCAAAATATATGTCTAACCGAGGATTTGTAAACAGAATATAAGAATTCATAAAACTAATATAATATATATATATAATTTTTTTTAAGAGACAGGGCATCACTACATTGTCCAAGCTAGAGTGCAGTGGCACAAACACAGCTCACTATAGCCTCGACCTCCTGTGCTCAGGCAATGATCCCACCTCAGCCTCCCAAGTAGCGGGGACCACAGGTACATGATGCCACACTCAGCTAATTTTTTTTCATTTTTTGAAGAGATAGCATTGTTCAGGCCCATCTCAAACTCTTGGGCTCAAGCAATCATCTTGGCTCAGCTTCCCAAATTGTTGGGATTACAGGTGTGAGACACTGCACTTGACCTAAAACTAAATTATTTAAAACAAAGTATTTTAACAGAAAAGTCACCAAAAAGATATACAGATAATGAGTTAAGCACATGAAAACATGCTTGACATCATAAGTCATTAGGGAAATGCAAAACACAGAGAGATACCACTTCCACATGTTAGAGTATTAAAATCCCAAATACTGACAGTACCAAGGGGTGGTGAGGATGCAGAAGAACTGGAACTCTCCTACATTGATCAGGATGCAAAATTATATAGCCACTTGGGAAGAGTTTGGCAATTTCTTAGAAAGTTATGACCCAAAAATCCCACTCTTAGGTATTTCTCCAAAAGATATGAGTATTTTAGCTCACATGAAAACCTATATATGAATTTTTATAGCAGCTTTATTCTATTAAAAACAAAAAACACCCCAAATGTCCTTTAACTGTACATCTATGAAAAGCAAACTACTCAGAAACAAAAATGAACTACTGACAACACAAAATAACATATAGTATATAGCCTTGTTTAGGCTATATACTATATGTTTCCACTTGTATGACATTCTGAAAAAGACAAAATTATGAGAACTGAAATGTAAATGATTGGCAGGAATGTGGATGAGACTAAGGACTAATGATGAAAGGGCAGCAAAAGGGAATTTGAGGGCACAGTGGAACACTTTTGATTCTGGATATCATATAAAACTAAGGCAAACAAGTAAAACAGTGGCAAAAAATGCAATCTTCATTTTCAGATAAATGAGGGTAATCCAACAGCTCCCAAATACTTATAAGAGCTATAAAGAACAGTTACAATAGGGCGAATATGCACAGAAGAGAACAGAAGAATCACAAGGAGTGCACAGAGAGCCCAACAGCAATAAATATAAAAAAGCACAAGAAAAATACACTTCCTCAGTGTTGTCAACAAAAATGGAGGAGTAGCTAGTTCTAAGATGGAGTGTAGTCCAAGGTAGAGTAGGTAATCTGTTCCTCCACAGAAACACTAAAAAACTGAGCAAAAACCTTCAGAATCAAGCGTGTCAGAGCTCTGGAAAATAGTCAAGAAATCAACTTGCAAGGTCTTTTAAGCTGACTGATGGCACCATGGACACTATGGTAACCTCTGTGACCTGCACAGACACTGCAGATGAATTCCTGGAACTAGAAAGTGTTAAGTAACTGGAAGACCATGAAAAGGGGAAGAATAATCAACCCCTGCAGCGTTATTGTGGAATACTATACAGCCATGAAGATAGCTACATCATGTCCTTTGCAGCACCATGGATTAAGCTGGAAGCCATAATCCTAAGCAAATTAATGCAGAAAGAAAAAAGCCACACACCACATTTTCTCACTTATAACTGAGAGCTAAACATTGGGTACTCATGGACAGAAAGATAGCAACAATAAAAGTGCACTGCTAGAATGGGGAGAAAGGCAAGGGTTGACTATTTTGTTACTATGTTGAGTACCTGAGTGACAAGATCATTCATACCCCAAACATCACACAACATACCCAGGTTATAAATTTCTATCTGTACCCCCGAATCTAAAACAAAAGTAGAAAAACAAAACATTAGTAAACCACAGCTTAAAAACAAGAGACTGCTATGGATTGAATATCAACATCCTCCTCAAAATTTACATGGTGATATCCTAAACTCCACGATGCTGGTATTTGGGTATGAGGTCTTTGAGCGGTAACCTCAAAGGTTACTAGATGAGGTTATAAAGGTAGAACCTTCATGATAGGATTAGTACCCTTACATGGATGAATCCGGAGGCAATTATCCTTAGTGAAATGATCCCAAAACAGAAAGTCAAGAACCTATGTTCTTATTTGTGAGAGTTAAACAGTGGGTACACGGAAACATACAGAGTAGAATGACAGACACTGGAGACTCCAAAATATGGCAGGGTAGGAGGGGAAAAGGGACAAAATGCTACTTAACAGGTACAATGTACACTATTTAGGTGATAGGTCACTAAAAGCCCAAACTTTACCACTACACAATATATCCATGTAACTCAACTGCACTTGTACTCCTAAGTCAATAAAAATAAAAAGTTATTAAAAAAAAAAAAAGATTAATGCCCTTGTAAGAAGAGATACCAAAGAACTTGTTTCAACTTGAAAGACTTTAAGAAAAAAAAAAAAATTGCTGTCTCTCTCGCCATTGTATCAGGTGATAACACAGTAAGAAGTCAGCCATCTGCAAGTCAGGAAGAGAGCCCTCACCAGAAACTGACCATGCTGGTACCTTGAGGACAGACCATCAGCAAAGAACTACAAGAACATAAATGTCTTTTGTTGAAGCCAACTAGACTATGGTATTTTGTTATGATGAACAAGTAGACTAAGACAGAAACCACCTGTGACAAAGAAAACTAAGTTAAAAAAATAGTTTAGAAGTCATTAAACAAACAATTGCAACCCACAGAAAGCAACAACAACAACAAAAAAAAAACATGAGAATGAAGACCAATCTAAGTTCCAGAGATATATGTTTTAAATGCCCATTTAAATATATGTATAGAGAGAAGCAACAAAGTACGTGGCCCACTCAAGGGAGAAATTAACAGAAGCTATCCCTGAGGAAAAACAGATGTCAGACTCAGTAGACAGTCTATCAATCATCATTTTAAACATGCTCAAAGAGCTAAAAATCATGAACAAAAATCTAAAAGAAACCAGAGGAACAAAGTATCAAAAATAGAGAATGTTGGATAGAGAGTAGAATGACGGTAACTAGCAGCTGCCATGGGCAGTGGGCAGAGGAGAATAAAGACAAGATAGTTAATGGGTACAAAAAGAGTTTGGTTTTTTTTTTAATACTAGAGAAATAAGATCTAGTATTTGTTAGCACAACAGAGTGACTGTACCTCAGATCTCAACCCTAACATTGAACGTAAATGGCCTAAATGCTCCACTTAAAATATACAGAATGACAGAATGGATACAAATTCACGAACCAATTATCTGTTGTCTTCAAGAGACTCGCCTAACAGGTAAAGACTCATAGAAACTAAAGGTAAAGGGATGGACGAAGATATTCCAGACATATGGACACCAAAAGTAAGCTATCCTTGTACCAGACAAAACAAACTTTAAAGCAACAGTTAAAAAAGACAAAGAGGGACATTATACAACAATAAAGGGACTAGTCCAACAGGAAAATATCACAATGCTAAATATATACACACCTAACACTGAGATGGATGGCAACACAGTAACAGCAGGAGACTTCAATATTCCACTGACAGCACTAGACAGGTATCAAGACAGAAAGTCAACAAAGAAACAATGGACTTAAACTATACCCTACAACAAATGGACTCAATAGATGTTTACAGAATATTCTACCCAACAACTGCAGAATATACATTCTATTCATCAGTACAGAGAACATTCTCCAAGACAGACCATATGGTAGGCCACAAAAT